TGGATGACCTGCTGAAGGTGAAGGATTGATTCAAGAAGTTTTGAGAAGGGATAGAATGTAATTTATAGTATTACAAGAGATTTTGGATCTGAGTTCAGAGATGGAAATCTATATAGAAAAAAGATTAGGGTTCCAAACCGGAGTCCTCAACACCCGGCGCACAGGCCAGATCCGGCCTGGAGCCATGGCCATCCAGCCACAGGGCTCCCCATGCATCCAGGAATTTGGTAGCAAGGGAGCAATGGCACTGTTCCCCTGCTGCCAAATTTCCAGACCCATGGGGAGCACCAGGCCCTGTGCGCTGCATGGGGCACCTGATCCCAGCTGAGATGGCCAGGGGCAGAACTGGGCCTGAGGGCCCAATCCTGGCATGTAGGGGGCTGGAAGGAGGTGGTACCAGACCCCATGGTCCAATCCTGTGTGGGGTGCCAGGAGGGGGCAGCACCAGCCCCTTAAGATACAATCCCAGTACACTGGGGCAGGACAGGGGGTACCAGGCCCCCAGGGACCAATCCCAGTGGGGAGGGGTTGCACTGGGCCCTTGAGGACCAACCCTGGCATGCAGAAGTGGAAAAAGAACAGTGTCAGGCCTCCAGGACTCAATCCCAGAATGCTGAGATGGGAAAGGGTAGGGCTGGGCCCCAGGACCAGCTCCTGGAACTCTGGGCTCAATCCAGCCTAAGGACAAGCCCTGCCCCACTCATCTGGCCCACAGGGTCAAAAGACTGGGCACCTCTGTTCTAAATCAAGAACTGTTATTTTATAGTTAAGTGGGAACTGAATGTGGCTAGTCTGGGATAGAGATAATTTCATCTCCTGACAGATGTCTAGAGCTTGCATTCACAGACAGATCTTACTCTGACTGGTTAAATAAGAAAAGAAAGTGATGTTTCAAAGCTACAGAATTCATCTTTTCCTCCGGCAGTGAAACCTGCTCATCTTTGATGACTTCAATTTATGCAGTTGAAAAGCAAATTTACAAAAAGGGGGGTTATCAACAGATATGAGTAAAACTGTTGTTTCCATTTGCAATTTTTGCACTCTCTCTTAATTTTCATTTCATGTAGATATGCAGCTCATGAGTTTTGCTTTGAGTTTTAGGTTTAAAGAAAGCAAAACTGAACCTAAACCACTGAATTGTGTCTGTTTTCAGGTTGAAACTAGCTATGACCCACAAAGTTTCAGAAGGCCCAAGCGCAGAGTGGTTTTTGGAGTGAGGGTTTCAGTTCAGCCCACTTTAAAGGTGTCCAGCTGCCAACATTGGTGCCAAAGCCAAACTCTTCTAAAATAAAGAGGTGCAGAAATCTGGCTTTTCAGAATCTGTCTAGCTGAAGCTATGTGAAAACACTGAATTTTGTACAAGATTTCCTAGGAATAATAGGTGATATCTTCCAAACTTCAGCCCATGTTCACTGGGATAACTGTACTCAAAAGTTAACATAAACTTACTAAAGACTCAGCTCAGATTTTTAGTAAACTTGTCTCAGGTTTGCCCACATATCCTTTTATTTTTTACAAAAAATTTTAAAAAATCCTGCTATCCATAAATTCTGTATAAACCAGTACTAGCATAGTCTTATACTTAACTCCATTAGATCTACTTAATGAAGTGTAAAGAAGTCAAAACTGAGGTAATTTGGGGTCTACTTATACTGCTTCCCTGATGCTTTAGAGATATTTACTTACTCCCACTCTGCATGCACTAATACAAAGAGGAGACACTGAAGCTGTCCTCTGAGTGCTCCCCCTCCTTTCAGCTTGCTTCTCCTCTGCCTCCCACCCCACCAGAGGACTGTGTCCTGTGCCCTTAGGGTGGCTTCTCTATTTCATTTCTGGAATTGTTGTGCATTGAGTGTGAATGGGAAGATAGGATGTGCTTCTTGGCAGTGCTCCCAGGAGCACCATGGAAGTACTAGAGATATGCCTCTGCACACCAAAAAAAAGAAAAAAAGATGACATAAAAACATGTAAGTTAAGTTAAAGTAGTGGAGTCCTTTGTTCATCTTATACCTTCTGACTTCCCCTAGTTAGTTGCTCTCCTTGCTACACTTACCACTTCTGGTCCTCAAAAACAGGTAAGTTACACCAACTTAGATTTCATAGGCCAAATTAAGAGTTGATGTATACAACGGGGCCCTAACACATTGGAAAGTGAATGTGAGTCCAAGAAGTCTAAGAAAATAAATATAATTATACCCTGAAAGAGTAGAAAGTGTAATTCCCATCGTTTTATAATCCATTCAGTTAACAATATTTGATTTAATTTAGTTTCTGAATTTAGCCTAAGAAGACAGTCTATATCTTAACAGTTTTTCCCCCAGCTACACCATGAACACCTGTGGCATTACATAATTACTCCTTTCAAGAATATAATCTGATGGCAGTTTGGGGTGCTTCTTTAAAAATTTAGTTTTTTTATGATCCTGGTCAAACCTTTTATACTACTTGGAAAATGCAAATAATTCTGCAGTAAATGTCATCACAAAATATCCTGCAAACCAGAATTTAGAATCAAGGCTGACAACCAATTTCTGTGTGAGAAAGTTCATGTAGTTATTGTTCTGATGTAGATGCTGTTCTGGAGTTTATATAGTACATAAACTGTACCCAGAAACTGAAAAAATCTGGGAATCAGATATCTATTAATAAGCAAATTAGAAATCAGCTATTAAAATGTATTTATCTATTATAAATAAATAAATAACAGCTGCCATGCCATTAACCTAGTGAAGCGCCTTGCATAAATCATGCCACTTCTCAATCTTAGCTTTACTGTCAGTAAAATGGGGATACTGGTAGATATCTCACAGGGTGTTATGAGTATTTAACTAATGTTTGTACAGGGCTTTGGAGATAAAAAGTGCTATAAAAGTGTCAGTATTAAATATATACAATTTTGTATTTGTACACTTATTTTAAAGTATGTATATACCTATATTCCATGCAAAAAAGTAGGTTAAGAGACCATTATGGCTGTAAAGTTAAGTACTAAAAAGTCAGGAAATGACAAATTTAAGATTACACACACAAGCATAACTTTGTCTCCTTCTGCATTATGATGCAGTCTTCAATTACATGATTACATACAATTATTTCTGTACAACCTGACCTCACTGAATGAAGAGGGTGGCTCATGCCATTCGTGAGGATTAAGATGCAACATTCATATTTAATTATCAAAACAGAAATGAAGCAAATTGCTGTGCACAGCACACTTGCTGTTTTTAATATATCGTATGTTATTTCTTTTTTATTACAATTTTTAACAATGTAAAATTAAAATTAAATATGAATGCATGTCAGGTCTCCTTGCAGCCATATTTGCTGCCTTTTCTCAAACAAAATTTCCACCTGGTTTGAGTGGGAGATTTGTCAGAATTTCATATTGAAAAGAATGAATTTTATCATTATAAGTAAGTCCTATGCCACTGTAGTGAATAGTTTCTATCTTTATACAGTAGAATTGATGAAAATGACTGAGAAGGCAGACCTGGTTATATTAGTCAATAACAGGATAATATGATACATCAATATGATGTAGATATAAAATAGGCAAATGCTATCCTGGGATGTATCAGTTGAGGTACTTTCAGAAAATAAAGAAAAGCACTCGTGCCATTTTACACGGTACCTGGTAAGACTCCTCAGGATCATTTGTGTACAGTTCTGGTCACCCATGTTCAAGAAAGGTAAAGTAAAAGAGGTGCAAAGAAAGGCCCCTACGATCATCAGGGTCATGGGCAGATCCAGGATTTTGTAAACATGGGGTGTAGGAGCAGCAACTGGCACTGCAATGCCACTCCCCATTTCCCATCCCTTCTTCAGCCAGGTTGCGCAAACCATATCACAGAAGCAGCAGCTTGGGACTCTTTTTTTTAAGTCCCTAAATCAATTAAGAATCTTCCCCACTCTCTTGGCATCCCCTCCCTTCCCCTCCATGGTCAGAGGAATGTCCCCTCCTCTCCCAATCCCTACATCTCCTCTGCCTACCACTGTCACTGTGTCTTAGTTAATGTGCATTAAATCTAGTACCTCCATTGTGAAGTACTAAGAAAATGTGCATTCACCTGGCTTAATGTGCATTAACTAAAGAGCATTGGCACTTTTACATGTGCTCTGGGGGTGGGGTGGCAATACTTTAATCAGAGTGGCTCCAAGAGCCTCTTTAATTAAAGGGCTGCAGCATCTCATGTACCAGTGTCCCCACGCTTCAAAATGGCGGTGGGGGCACTTGAACTAAAGCTTGTTTGATGAGCTTTAGTTCAAGTGCCCCACCACCACCTTTTGAAGTGTGGGGAAGCTAATTAATGAGACATGGAAAGCTGCTGGAGCACAGTAATTATGATGCTCCAGCAGTCTCGATTAATCTTTGTGATGGAAATTAATTAAATCTGATTAATCGAATCTGCTCCAACGTGCTGTAACTTTGTCAGACCATCCTCTGTGCTTGCGTATAGGCACCCCGCAGTTTTTAAGTGACGCTTACTGCTCATTAGCCTATTTTAATGTGAATTAACTAAATAGCACATTTTTTAGTGACACTTTAATGCACATTATAATAGGCTAATGCGCATTAAAGAACATGTGTAGATGCACCCACTGTCCTTGATGTCTCTGACTGTTCTGGGGGTGGGGAGAGGTCCAGAGCTGCCCTTGCCTCATTCCAGCTGGGCTCAGCAGGGGACAGCAGCAGTGATGGCAGTGGCTGGGATCCCCCTCCTCAAGCCTGCTGCCATGCTGGCAGTGATATCCTGGGGAACCAAGCAGGGAGAAAGAACCCTCCCACTGATGCTGATGCTACTGCTACTGCCACCAGTTGAGCCCGGCTCCCCTCACTGCCCAGCTGGAGCAGGGCAGGAGCAGGTATGGAGCTCTCCTCAGAGCCAAAGACAGCAGGGGCAGCAGTGGGCAGGGGGGTGGGGGAATGAGAGGGGAGGAGATGTCCCTGAGCATAAAGAGGAAGTGTGTGTATGTGTGTTTGGGGGGGGCAGGGTTCTTACCTATTTCAGGGACTTGAACAAAGTACTGGCTGATGTTCCTGCAGCATGGTCCAAAAGAGGGGGAGAGATCACATCACTGCAACCTCTCTAGATCCACCCCTGGATCAAGGACAAGGAGAATGCATCTGAGAAGAGGAGACAAAAAGTTGGCTAGTTTATCCCAGAAAAATCAAGGCTGAGACGGTATATGATTGCTTTTTACCAATATCTTAGGAAGTTAAACATCAAGGAGAGAAAGGAGCTATTTAACTTATGGGACAATACTGGCACAACAACAAAAAAGTCTAAACTGGCCATGAATAAATGTATGTGTCTAATAAATGTCTAACCACCAGAAGACTGGGATTTTGAAACAATCTTCTAATAAGCGTAGTGGGGCAAGAAACCTTATGAACAGGACTATATGGTATGAATGCCCACAAAAGTAGGTGACAGAACTTAACCCAAAAGGTCCCTCCCAGATCTATGTTTCTTGTATTCCGATTGTTATTTTTCTTGCCATAAACATCAGAAAGCTAAAACAACGTATAGATGTTACAAAAGCTGCAAATAATAATCACATAAATATTGAGAGGAGAGTATAAATGCTATAACAGACATTTTGAATTTCTCCTTTTTCTGCCACTGGTTGCATTTCTGAGAACAGTAGGACAAAACCTGCTCTTGGTTATAAGAGAATAAGCCAGTAACCCAGCCACTTTCAGTTGCTTCAGTGATGCAACTTCAGATTTACCTGGCTGTAACTGAGGTCAAATGGAATTCATGGGCATTAAAGCACAGAATCTTCCAAAAAGATTGACAAAGGTCACCATTTTTATCATTTCAAATAGAATAGCTCTTCATGTTAGTGGTGACAAGATCACACAATGAAAGGAAAGTTGAGACAACTTTCCTCTTTGATCTCAGCTCTGTGAAAATATTCTATAGTATGTTCAGTGATTCTTAGAAATTATTCTAGTCTGAGATGCTGTATTATTTCATACAGAGCAAAAAATTTTTGTTTCAGTTTGTTTTTTATTTCAAGTAAGGTATCCTTCTATAGCAATATTTTGAGCAAACATTTTATTCTGCTTTGTCACAACCAAATTCCCTGGTTCTGAGATCTGCAGTATTTTCCTTTTTCCAGAATGACACCTGCTGGTGGAAGAAGCATGGATAAATTGCAGAGATTTTATAGGGTCAGCCACAGATAACCAAACATGTTCATTTATCAGTTAGAGACAGCTAATGCATTGTGCACCATGAAGTAGTGTACCCTTGGTAATAATGATTCAGAAACTGTATATTTAACATCATAAAGAAAATGTTATACAAGTCATATAGTTTTCTAATTTTATTCACCAATGGTCCTTATTACCACCAGTTTATTAATACAGAGAAGTGTTTCAACAGTGCCCTGATATTAGAGATAAGCAATAATTTAGGCTAAACTATATCTGCTGTAGCATGGGTATGTCAGACTGAGGGGAAAGGGGACAACAATACCCTTTCTTCCCTTCCACCTGTATGTGGAAAGAAGCCAAACTGACTTCTTCAGTGCAAGTCGGGTCAGCTGCTAGTTCTGCTGTTTGTGCTAAACACCCCAGGCAACCTGGGTTTAGGTAGGGGTGTGCGCGGGTATGTGTGTATGTGTGTGGGTGTATGTGAACAATTGATTGGCTTATAAAAGGGCAGTGTCTCCAAACTGTAGTTCTTTGCCAATTCCTTCTTCAGGACACTCAACTTGCCTCTCGTTTTAAGGACAAAACTTGAGCTTTTATCAGTTCTAATGCATTTAGGGCAACATTTAAAAATATTCTCTAATTCTGAGTACTTTCATTTTTGGGTATCCAACTTTTTTAGTTCCCTAAGAAAATTCTTGCAGAGAAGCTGAGCCTTCCCAACTCAGAGTAAAGATAACGATAGCTGTGGGTGCTCAGCCTTATATACCTAAAACTAGGATCCTAAAAACATAGACATCCCATTCTGCTTACAAGATTTTTATTTGTCATGTGATTATCTACAGCTGTCAAATTTGAAGCACACTACTGTAACATAGTTTAGCATTATAGCCCTTATTTAACAAAGCAATTAAGCATGTGCTTTGCTGCATCCTAAAACAGAGAACAGAGTGAACAGAGGTCCGATTTCTTTTTCCAGTTTGGCCACTGGCTTGCTGATTGATTTTGGACAAAGTGTTTTACCAGCTAATTCCTGTTTCCCCATCTCCAAAATTGGAATAATGATGCTCTCTCCCTATAAGCTGAGATCTACTGATGTAAATCACTATATAACAATATATATTACTATTATGTCATATTTAAATGTATGATTTCCATGGAATTACTTTTGCTGTATATTAGACAAATGCATGTCAGTGATGTATGTCTGCATACTACAGACATTTCTACTCAGCCTCTCTCCGAAACCTAGGTCTATCATTGACAAAATATGTCCTGCCCACTTGCTTTCACTCAGGAGCAGCAGAGGCCAGTAATTAGGCAGAGGAGACAGCTCAGACTGGTTTTGAGTGCACAGTCCAGGGCTGCCCTCAGACTCTCTATCTCAGGAGAGCAGAGGTAGGTGGGGAAAGCACTCAAGTCTGCTCTGAGTCTCCCAGGTTTGAGCAGGAACTCCCATAAACATGGCTTGTTGTACAATTTGTGAAAAATTATGTTGGTTTGGGCAGATGCAAGCTTGTATATAGAAGATTTGTATTTGCCCTGAGATTAGCTACAGCTATCAAATTTGAAGCACACAAGTAACTTAGGTTAAGATAATGGCCTTTATTTAACAAAGCAATTAAATGTGTGGTTTGCTTAATCATGTGCATAAGCCATTCCTCATGATAAGTAGGTGCTGATTTCCCACCCTCTTCGATGTGATGATTCCAGAGAGACAAGGTTCTTTGAGTAAATGTGATATCTTTTATTAGTCCAACTAAATAGTTGGAAAAATTGTTCTACAAGAACAATTCTAATATAATAAAGGGCTGAGTCTGTCTGCCTGTGTGTCTTTCTATATGTCTGTAATGCTTTATGGCCAACTGTGCATGAGCCGCTGAGAGGGCAGGCAGCAATTAGCTGCACAGACCCAAGTTTGAGCCGCTGCCAGGGAAGTTTGTGGCAGTGGTGAACATGCCCCGCCCACTTGAGCAGTGGGGCTCCCCCATGCCTCCCTGCCTGAGGGCAAAGTGGCGGGTCATGGTGGAGGAACCCCCCCCCACCGCCCATCCCCAATGCCCCCCAAAACAGCCGGCAAGGAGGGGGAAGCAGTGGACAGGGAGGGAGGGAGAGGAGCAAGGCAGGGAGAGGTGAAGGAGGGGGTCACAGTGGCAGCTGTTGTCAGGTTGGGCAGCAGGGAGGGAGGGGAACAGGAAGGGGACCCCGACAAGAGCCAGCAGGGAGGGGGAGGCAGTGGGAAGGGAGGGAGCTGCAAGGGCCCGAGTGGGCACAGGGCAGGGGGAAGCGAAGTGCGGGGTCATGGTGGTGGCTGTTGTTAGGGCCGGGCAGCAAGAAAGGAAGGAAGAAAGGACTTGACTTCTTAACTACTTTTATTCAGGGGCTCGGGGATACAAAAAGGTTGTCCACTTACAAAGCAGAGACAAACAAATTACCATCAAACCAATAACACCATGTCACTACATTCATCACATCACACCATGACAGACACCTTCACTACATTCCATGTTGTGTCTTACATGCTATTATGCGGTCAGAACGCTGGCCACATGGTCATATCTATAAATAAACAATTCCTACCCTGCTCTATCCAGTCATACGTGTGACAACACTTTCAACTTCCCACACAAAAAAAAGAGCAAAAAAGCAGCCTGGTGAGGGCCCAGGGTGCGGCACAAGCTGGAAGTCATAGTCCGATATCAAGCCTGCCCGGTTGCCCAGACTGGTCATGACATCAGAACACTTATTTGAGACAGCCATCCTCCACATGGCACAGAGCTCCCTCAAGGGCCCAGTGTGTCTCAAAGGCAGGCTCCGTCCACCAGAGCACAGTGTACTCAAACTCCAATGAGAGGCGCGCCTCCACCAGGAGAAGGAAAAGCTGCAGGGCATCATCTGAGCCAGTCCCGGCAAGCCAGTTAAAGAGGCTCTTGAGAATGGCTGTCTTGGCCTGACCCACTAAAAAGTTGGCCAGGCAAACGGAGCCCTTCTCAGCCGCCCGGTATGGGTAGGAACACACATAGGTGGTCTCCGAGAGGCTCCTGCCTGGCGCTCACAGCAGTGGCTTGAGGGTGACAAAGAGCAACTGCAGGCGGGGACAGTCGAGGAAGGCATGAAAGAGGGTCTCCTCAACACCCCCCCAGGCAGAAGGGGCAGGCTGTCAAGGCAGCTGGGTCAAAGTGAGATGCAAACGTCCCAGTGGCTAGGATGCCATGCAGTAACCGCCACTGCAGGTCGCCAGTCTTCTTGGCAGCTGGCAGCTTACACAATGTGCGCCAAGCCGGGTGGGCCAGTGGGGAGTCTGGCAGCCCCAGGAGCCATCACCATGGTGTATCAGGGTGGCCCGCCAGCACCTGGGCATGGCGGACATGAACAACCCAGGCATATAAGCTTCTACATGACAGAAAAGCAAAGGGGCAACCCGTGTCACTATCAGGAGGCACAGGGAGCGTCAGCAGGGTGCCAGGTCCGCTGGCCAGCTTGCCGGCCACAGCCGGTGTGACTGGCAGCATGGGAAAAACCTCGCTCGGGGCCTCTGCAGCACAGGAGACCTGGCCCACCCAGAGATGGTCATCTAGAGTAGCTGCTGCCTCCAATGGGAGGGCAGCCTGGATGTCACACAGGAGACGGCCCATGCTGAGGACGGAGCGCATGCCCAGCTGGGTGGTCAAGGCCTCAGGTGAGAGCCAGGCCAACCGAGGGGGGTCAAGGAGATGGAGGTGGAGGACAGGCGCCTGGATGAGAATGGCCATGAGGCTGGCAGAGGCCAGGCTCAGCACGGGGCGCCTCAGAGCTGGGTTGTGCACCAAGGGGTCCCTCAGCAGCTGCGGGAACTGCAGGTGACGGGCCTGGGGCTGGAGGTGGAAGGTGGCCTGCCAGGCTTGTACCACACTGCGGTAGAAAGCCGGAAGCACCGTCCAGTTTAGGAGTGTGAGGTCCAACAGGAAGAGCTCCCCGTCAAAGCCAAGGGCCCCCACCCTCTGCAGGAACTGGCACGCCAATTGTTGCAAAGGTAGGCACTCCTCGCTGTACAGGAGTTGTTGAAGGGCCTGCAGGTGGAAGGTGGCCACCTTGTTCACAAGGTCAACCAAACTCTGGCCCCCCTCAGCTACAGGTAGGTAAAGGACAGCTCATGGGAGCCAGTGGCACCCATCCCAGAAAAAAATCGAACAGGAGGCGCTGGAGTCTCTCGAGTAGGTCCTGTGGTGGATCGAGTATGGTGCATCGGTGCCACAAGGCTGCCGCCACCAGTTTGTTTGCAATGAGGACATGTCCGCAGTAGGAGAGGCTGGGCCTCTACCCCTTCCTCAAGGCCATGCCAGTTGCACGCCATGAAAGTCGGTGGCCCTAGGAACACGCCCAGGACCTTAAGGCCCTCATGACACCAGGTGAGGTCCCCTAGCAAATCTGGGGGGAGGGGGTCATGCTGATCCACGCACCAAGCAGCAAGGTATCACTATTGGCCCAGTTGATACGGACCCAGGAGGCATGTTCATAGGCTCACTGGCAGTCTGTTAGGGCCTTCACATCTTCCTGGGTGTTAAGGAAGATGGTCACACCATCTGCATACGCTGATAGCTGGAGCAGAGGGGTAATGGACAGGCCTGTGGCCAATAACAAGGCCATACCACTCGGGCGGTGCCATAGCACATGCAGCAGTGGCTCAATGGCCAGGGCATAAAGCATGCCTAACAGGGGGCAGCCCTGACAGATGCCTCTGCATGAGGGGAACAGGGCACAGAGCACCCTGTTCACCTTTAGCAAACTGGAAGTGTCTTGATACAAGACCTGGAGGGCCCCGGTGAAGAGGGACCCAAAGCCAAAGGCCTCCAGGGTCTGAAAGAGGTAGGCATGGCTCACCCAGTCAAAGGCTTTCTCCTGATCCAGAGAGACGAGGCCAATGTCTAGGCCTAAGAGTTTGCTGGCTGTAAGTAGGTCATGCAGCAGAAACAAGTTGTCTTGGATGGTTCTGCCCGGCACACAGTAGCTCTGCTCAGGCCCGGTGACAGAGGCCATAACCGTGCGGAGGCAAGTCACCAGTGCTTTGGCCAGAATCTTATAGTTTGCACACAGCAGGGAGACTGACCACCAGTTCTTAATACAGCCAAGGTCTCCTTTCTTGGGCAGTAGCGTGAGCACTGCACAGCGGCAGCTGATTGGCAGGACCTTGTTGGCAAGGCTCTCCTGGAAAACACACAGAAGACAGGGGCCGAGAGGCCAGAAAGTTTGTAAAACTCAGCAGGTAACCCATCGAGGCCTAGGGCTTTGCCAGAGGCGAGGCCAGCTGCAGCAGTTGCCAGCTCCGCCAGAGACAATTCCTCCTCAAGCTCACTGGCCTCCAGGGCACAAAGGTGTGGCAGGTCCACATGGAGTTCCCGCATGGCCTCACAGCAGAATGGCTCAACCGCAAATAGGTCACGATAGAAGGCGATGGCGTGCTCACGTACTTCGCCCGGGTCAGTGATTACCCGGCCCTCAGG